AAATAATTATTTACTGCATTACTTTAAATAAAATAATTAGAAAAGTAAAATAGTATATATTTCTCTCTCACAGAGATTATAAACATGCATATATTATTGACTTGATATATATGTATGCATGTAATTTATTTTACATTCGGACCATGCTAATTGGTCAATAAACCGAGATCTGTGCAGTCTGATTCGACTTATGAATATAGTTTCCATATAAAAATGCAGAAATGTAATAATATTCAATAATAAATATTTATACYCGATAGAGTGAGATAGCAATTTATTGAGCATAATTTGGATAATGTATTTTATAATACTATAATAAAATCATTTCATAATAATAAGAACAATATGAACTAACAATAACACTCAAATTTAATTTACTTTGAAGCAGCTGCCAAAACAAACCAACATAAATCACAATTAATATAGTTTTCCCACAGATCTGATAGGCTCAAAATAAACTTCAAGAGCAGAAACTCCAGCCGCAAGGCCAAAAACAATAGATAAATGAATGTAGATATCAGGCTTGGCATCATTTGTATTCATCATCAAGATGGCCCGCATGTGACATCGAGACATTAAGAATGTTTCTTATATTAGATTCCATTTCGGCTTTTCACTGACTCAAAGGGATAGTTACTTTTATCGAAACATTTTTGTCATTTCTTTTTTTTTTTTTTTAGCACTTTTCACTTGTTGATGCGTTCGTTGCCTTGAGCTGCATAAAAGTCAGTCGAATGACTTTCACTTTTTTCGGGTAGCACTTAATTTAATGAAATGTGTCACAAGGCGAGAGCGTCTTCATTTTTCATTCATGCACAGAGCGAAAGTGAGATGCTCACTCGAGAGAGAGAGAGAGAGGGAGAGACACTTGAGAACTTCATGCGCGATGCTTTTTGGTCATTATTAGCCCGAGCCGTGACACAGATGCGAGTCCTTTGACTAAGTGCTATCTTGTTAACCTGCTTACACACTGCACGCTCATTAATCATGGCTACACTTGACAAAATTTCGCTGTACATAATTTGACACTTGCCCCACACGAGTTGCACTCGAGTTGGGGGGTGGGCAAACATTGTTGGCAAATAAACAGCTTTACTACACGCTGCTGGCATTACAGTTTCCACAACTTTTCGGGCGAAGTGCAAACTTTCGCATTACCGTTACGCAATAAATTTTCAAGTGTAAGAAAAAATTTGTCACTTGGCAACGCACAGCAACAAAAGTTGCGTCGCAGCAGCTTAAGGTTGGCCTGCGAACGACAACGACGCCCGCATGGGCATGCAAAGTTTACAGCACCGCCCGGCCACGCCCCCATTGGGTATTTAATCGTGGCAGTGACAGATCCGCAACGCTCATAAATAACGCAACAAACTTCCAGCAACACTGGCACAGCGAACCCCAGGAGAGCCCGTGTCGACTGCCTATAAAGATCTGCTCAGGGCACATTTAACCCTGTTAAGCCCCAACACTGAGCGCTTTTAGCCAGGTTAGCTGGTTAGCAGGCTAGCAGGCTGGCAGGCTGGCTGCTCATTAAAAACTTAGAGGCTGTCATCAAGGCGACGTCACACTCCACACTCAAATTCACAACTAAGCAGACAGGCAGACACCCGGACAGACGGACAGACAGACAGACAGAAGGACTCGGCTCATGCCTCTGACACTGTCGCGCGCAATTGCCGCTGAGCTTAATTATGCCGCTCAACAGCACGGCAAAGGGCGCATCTCATATGCATTCCACAATGAACGGCAAGGCTAATTAGTCGTGGCTCACAAGTCAAAGCCAGGGAAAATGCATGAGCAGACAGTTGATGTTGCATAAGAACGAGCGCAACCAGAGACACGTCAAGAAGGTCAGCCGGTGTGGCATGTGGTCTACTTTTCAACTTCTAGTCAACCGGAGAGTGTCACATGTCTGCTTGATGCGCTTGTCTAGCTACTTTATTCAAGAAATATACATAAATTAGAGCTAGATGGCTAGAGGGGGTAGAAAGAGGTGTACATGGATAAACATTCCAGAAAGGTAAACTGAAATGAAAGATTACATCTTACGAGCCCGTAGAACCTTTTCAATATCTCTGGTTCTCTTGTACCATTCATGTACCAATCATGTGCCATTCATGTACCATTCATGTACCAATCATGTACCATTCATGTACCAATCATTCACCCGATTGGGGGACTTTCAACAGCTCATTTTATTTCATTTCTTATTTATTTTTCTGCCAACGTCAAGAATTCAATTTCAAACACAACTGCAACATAATGCAAATCTCCTCAGAGTTTACATCCAAATCTTCAGCAATTGATATATCAAAGTTTTCTCAACTCAGCTCAACACCCTTAGAAAGTTCTTGTTTTCATTAACAATTGCAGCAAATCTCAACTTTTTCAATTTAAAGATTCGTTTACTATCAACTTTTGTGTCTCTCTCCATTTTCCCTTTTTGTTCTATATTATTTCTCTCTGCTGTGTTGCAGCACATAAATTCCGTTTACATTTTCACCCAACTGCAGCTACACTTCCCTTCGGTTTGCAGCCAACAACAATTTCACACCTGCTTTGCACCTGCTGCAATGCAACCGCACCCACGCAAGCCGACAGTTAGAACTTCATCATTATTCAGAGTTGGCAGCAGCAGGAAAACTAGCAACAATAACAACAATGGACTAGCAGCTGGTTTTTGGCCTAGTTTTAAAATGTGTAGCTAACAACGATAATAAACAAGCAGCCACAACAACAACAGCAACAATAGTGAGAAGATTGGGTCCGAAGCAAATTATATAGCCCGTGTTTGGCTTAGGCGAATGCAACAAAGCTTTGCGGCCGGGCATATGCAAATGAACACAAATACAGATACACACACACACACACACATATACTCGCAGACACTCACACACCCAAATATTGAAAGCCAAAGGGGTTTTAAAGGATATTTTCTTGTTGCATTCGTATATTTGGCCAAATATTGCGGCTTTGGCGTGTTTTCCTTTTCTGGTATTTCGAGCATTTGCTTTGTGCATAAAACACATTCATTAGGCCAAAGCACAAACACACACGCCAACACACACACACATTACGCAGCCAAACGCATAGAACATTTGGCCTAATGCCTTCGAAGGTCGTACTCTGCCGTTGTCTGCCAATTTGTTTTTGCGGCCAGGCCAGGCCGATTGCAGTTTTGACCTCATTTCACTTGCATAATCATCGCTCACTAATTGTTGTTTACTGCAGGCAAAGTTCTGTGATGTTAAATGCCATTTGAGCTCTAGTCCCCTGCCAATTGTGCTGCACATGGTTAACTATGACAACTTGGTGTGTTTGCCTGTTATGATAGCCAAGTAAATATTGGTTGGCCAATAAAGCAAGAGCACACAACATATTTCATTTAATATCAACGGCTAATAGCACGAATAATTAAACACAATAATTTGTGCTTCAAGCAACTTCCCCTCAATTTCAAAGCCATTTCATATGACATTTATTATAAATTATAAAAAAAATTAGGG